TTTCAGTGGAAGAGAATAGATGATGCATAGAATACATTACTTTGCTTTATAGAAGCCTCATTCTGGAAGAAGGCGCTCTTCCTCCTACTCTCTCTTCCCTCTTTGATACTTCTCTTTGTAAAGAGTTTGAGAATTAGTAAGGTGGGGAAAGGGATATTAGAGGTAGTGATAATCTCCTGAATACAAATCTTTCCTAAAAATCAAAGTGGGAAATATATCTCAAATGATATCCATGATAGTTCCAGGTACTCATTCATCTTCTTTCCTCCTCCCCCTCCTCTCTCCCCGTGCATTAACGACTCCTTCATGCTTGCATTTTACAACAGAAGCAAAAAATTCAATTCAATTTGAATCCTATGCGATTCACGGTGTTCTTCAGTCCTCTCCACTGAGTTTTTCTTTACTTAAAGCTGATTTCAAGCTTTTTTAGAATGGTTGAAATTTTGAGCAAAGTGTAAACAACACGGACACCGCCTTCATCCTTGAGAGAATTTCTCTTCCAGCTCATTATATGTATCTCGACCCTTAATCAGCTGTAACTAACATCAAATGAAAGGAAGAATCTGCGGCACTAATATACAGTTGTCCTCATTTTCCGCAGTCGCTTTGTGTAATTGCACCACTTTTGCAATTTGCACTAGAGCAGGAGTGTCAATAGATTCACAGATTCACTTCCACTATCAAGGACATGGTTTAGAACTACGAAAGGAAAAACGAAGGCGATTAAATAGAGTTGAGGGTCTTGCAAATTAGAAAGTTGCGCAATTACACAAGATGGTTGTTGAAATGGGGATTACTGTACATTGAAACCATTTGTACCTACTGCACCGAAAATAGAAAGCAGACAAAATAGCCGACATATTGGCCAGTGATCTTCTCTCAAAAACCCCTCTCAAGGACATCCAACTAAAAACTTGTCCTATTAGTAGGAGACAAGAAAAACATATCATAATTACGCAATTATAAGGTGTGACCTTGTCGGATACTACTATTACTTCTACTTTGCTATTAGGGGTAGGAGCACTTTTTTGTATGGGGTTTCCACAGACAAGACTGGACGCTGACGTCTCGGCTCGTTTTATGGCTGGAATTCGTGGCGACACATTCGACTTCAAAGATTTCAGATTGTCGCCATGCTGCGAGTTTCGGCTGTAGCCTTGCTGGCCCTCTTCGCCCTCTCCCAAGCTCAACAAGACAACTGCTACATCAACGATAGTGGTAAGGTAGCTCTCTATAGACACTTTGTTCTC